TAAAGATTTATTTTTATTTATTTATGCATAGAAGATCTGGGGTGTATGCCAGAGGGGTGGGGGATAAGAGGATTCACCAGAGACAGAGTGGGAGCAGAACAGTCAGACTGACTGAAATACACTGTTGAGAGGAGCAGTGGGCAAGATAGGAGAGGTCTGCTGTGCCAAGTGGGTCAGCTTCCTGGCTGGGGATAGAACTCATGCCACAGTGGCTGTGATAGCTTGATAGAGCTGAGACTTAACCCCTCGGCCATTAGGGAGGCTCTGGTGTTCTTGATGCCTACTATCCTTTCGAATTCCAGAAGTTCCCATTACTGTCCAAGATACCAATGGACATCAACCTTTCCGGTTCCCCAGCTCCTTATGAACTGACTTCCCTCATGCAGTCTGCTGGTGGTGATGGGACTAGTGGTTTTATTTTGCTTTGTTTTATTCTGGTCCTCACTGATATAGCATCTTGTAGATACCTGAAGAGCAGGGCACTGAGTACTCTTACTCAATGAAGAAGAGGATAGCAGAACAATTCTGTGCATTCATCTGTACATAACGTCTCCTAAAAGCAGAAGCCTCAGTCAGACCTCAGTGCCATGCCCACAGTCTCTGATACAGCTGCAATATAAATCTTTTATCACTGCAAATCAGGATCTACCCTGATGCCTGGCCTTAGCGCCTATTTCAACACACAGGTGCTAAGTGAATGAAAAGATGTCTGTTCATTATATTCACAGTTTCTTCAAAATAAGAGGAAGATAAGTAAAAGTAGGGTAGTTCCTGGAATTAGGAATACTTATTATTAAAAAAAAAAAATCATCTACATCCAAACTATGCCTAGTCTTATTTCTTAAATGATTTGCCTTTTCCAAACCTGAGTTTTCCCTCACCAGATAAACAAAGGAAAAATATTTCACATTAGCCCTATCAGGGAGTGGAAGGGCTTCCTGCATTATGCTAACATAATACAGAGCGGAAATCAAATGCAAGATGCATCAAATGAGGACAAAGTCTCTGGGGAGCAAATCCAGACAGTGTGGTGATACCATCCTTAGGCTGAGGGCCCATGCTGCATTTTCATGCAAAAATCCTATAATCCAAAGCTGCAGCAAATTGAATAACTAATAATTAAATTGACCCCTCTCATCCCAGGAAAATAATTTAAAATTTAAATTGCACATGTAGATAGGCCTTTGGCAATGTTAATAAGTTTGGAACTTATGAAGGAGTTCCTATCTCCCAAATCCATTTTTAGGGGAAAAACCCATTCCTCAGAGTTTTAGAATCATCAATATCAGAGTTTAAAGGATGCTGAAAATAAAATAATCCATATCATGAATTTTAAAAATAAAGAGAAGTTATAAATGGCAGAGCCCAAGGTTATGAAAATGACTTTAATTCTATTTCCTCTCAAATCCTATTAGAGCTTTGTTTGTGCATTATTTATATCACCTTTTATTGCAGGACTATGAAAGCGTGAACTACCCTAGGCATTTGTCCCAGCAAGCAGAGCCATCCAGTACTGATTCAGTAGGTAAAATCTTTCAGAAACACAAAACGATTTTTTTTTCCCCTAAAAACAGATGTCATCCAGGTATTAGGAGACAGCTCAACTGAATCTTGGAGATCAGTGGATTTTAAGTATTTTCCACTCCAACCACCTCTGTGATGAGCACCCGCTTCGAGTAGGGGGGCAGGGCTGCATTTCATCACTCCTGGCTCAAGGGGCCTCCTTCAAATCCGACTGAACTTTCTATGTTGTAGTCTGGTATAGTGTCTTGTGTTTTGTTTTTTTTTTTTTTTAAAGTTTTTTTTATTTGTGCATACAGAACTGGGGTACAGGCCAGAGGCTCAGGGGCGGTGAGAGGCTTCACCAGAGACAGAGTGGGGAGCAGAACAGGCAGTTGGACGAAGTACACTGCTGAGGGGAGCAGCGGGCGGGTCAGGAGAGGTCTGCTGCACCACGTGGTCACCTCCAGGGCAGGCAGGAATCGAACTCATGTGGAAGAGGCTTTAGCTTCTCAGTGCTGTGCTTTAACCCACTGCGCCACCAGGGAGGGCCTGTCTGGTGTTTTTAATATACAAAAATCTTAAGTATATAAAATAGCAATTCCTTTTGGAAGGATACACTATGGCCGCCTAGTCTTTCTCCTACAAGTTAAGAAAATATTTTATTTCAAAGTTTAACCAATTCATTGATTTTAAAAGGCAAGACAAAAACACCACTGCTCTGCCCCATGGGAGAAACTGATTTAAAGACTGAACAGCCAAATAATGCTGAGAACACAGGCGTCCCTGTCAGTAACGATCAGGTAAAACTTGCTCTTAATCCTTCCTGCTTCTCTAACTTATCAGGTTTTTTCTGACCAGGTTGCGCTGAGGATCAGGTCTGTCCTGAGCTCATCCATCCAGAGTAAACATCTTAAAGTCTCCTGAAGTCATGTCCCTGGTGATTAAGGTCAGCTTCTTCCTCAGCGACTATCTGTAAGACTTCAATTAAGCAGCAACCTCTTCGGACCTCTGTCTGCTCCTGCATAAGATGGGAGATCCTCACAAGTCTCCAGCAACACAGCTTAGGACTTAGGGAGAGATGTTCTTTTTTTTTTTAACTGGATCCACCACTGGTTTCCATTATTACATAATTTGCAGGGACTATGTAGGTTACACCAAGACAAATGTGTATACCAAACTCACCAGGGTAGTTACCCCCATAGAAGGGAAGGGAAGGAGGGAGTGAGCTCTTGATAGACTGCCGTTGACTGACCCTTCTTTCTCTGGCTCTTTCTTTTCTCCCATTTCTTGCCTCATCTCTGACCCACTTTTCTCATCTCTCTCATCTCTGCCAAGCCAATTAGTCTGTGGGGGTGAAGTCACATTTTAGAATCTCTGAGTGGGAGAATGATTGAGCTGATCCCCAGGAACACTGGAGAGGCCAGGGAGAGACGGGCAAAGACAGAAAAAGCAGACATGCTCAGGAACACAGCAGACCTCAAAGTGCCTTAGGTAAGACACTATTAAGGCACGGATTTAACCTGAGCTTTTTATCCTGAAGGCCAATCACTAGGGAAGTCACATCAGTGTTGGATGAAATGGCTATGAATATGTATTTCACTCGTTCATTACACTAATTTGGAGAAGTTTTGGAACAAAGACTGGCTGGAGCCTACTCAAAGGAAGGAGCAGAGAGAGAAACTGTAAAAACCCCTTTGTGTGCTGTCCTGCGAGACTTGTCCAAATGATGGCTTGCACAGCCACAAGGCACACACACATAATTCTGAAACCGCCATCTGGAGCAGCAGATTCAACATTACTTTCCTGTCTGTTATCAAGCGTGTTGGCCATTGTCTACCTCATTCTACTTAGATCCCAATACTGCACAATGCTAGGGGGCACCCTTCATAGTTACGGCAGTTTTCTGGTAGGTCACGATAAAGGAGTTAAAGAAAGGGAAACAAAAAGATTCCATGAACTAGAGGCAGGGCTACCCATTCCAAAGTTTATAAATGTAAACTATCAGTATACAAAGAACACCAAGCTTATCTGTGCTCATCTTAACATAAGGATATCACCAGAGCTGTAGATCTTATATTGTTGTTATCAAGATGATAGAACCTTCAAAAATTGAGAACACCAATCAGATGTGACACTCCACAGAATGGAAAGTACATTCCAGGAGCGGCACCTACAGAAATTCTATTGTTTGCATAGAAAATTTCAAAAGCGCAAGATGTCCTGGGACTTCTGGAGAGCGTTGGCAAGCCTCAGAGTCAATGCTAACCTTCCTAGGGACGGTCACCATTAGCAAAAAGGGGGATTCAACAGGAATACAAAACACTGTAACATACAGCATTCACACATATGATGCAAATCTGGAGCATTCAGACAGTATGATGAATTACTAGATCACCAGAAAGGCTAAGACACAAGTTCCCATTTTTGCCTAATCAAAATAGGCCACAGTGACCTGTTCACTATTTCTTCTCAGTCTCAAAACTGGATGCTGTTTTCAATTATCTTTTTTTAAAGTCCGGTTTATTGAGGTATTATTTACACAGAGAAAAGTAACCATTTCATGAATAATTCTAAGGGTTAGGAAAACTCATAAAATCTATAACTATCACTAACTACAATCAAGATATAAATATGTCATCATCCTTTTACAGTCACTCTCTAAACATAGCTTCTGAAGGCCACCATTTTTTTTTTAGAAATCTAGATTGAATCATAATACAAAAATTTCAAAGTGATCTATACAACCCTTTAAATATTTTCCACATCTCACTTATTGCAAAATAAAACCCCATCCTTAGGTTTGAACACTCTGAAATTATTATGTGTTTTATAATCAGTGGCATTTTACCATTACAATTGGGAACCATTTTCTTTTTAGTGATGCAAAAAATAATTATGTCTCTTATAATGTAGGGTGCCTTAAAAATCAATAGAGTACATTCAGTCTTTTACTTTAAAACAGTCATTGAATACTTATTATGTGTGCTAGTAGCTTACTAGGCATTGAGAATACTGGAGCGGGAGATATAAACAATTATAATATAAGGTGATAATGTCTATAACAGAAGTTTATCCACTTGCGAGAACGAAAATTATCTCTATATTGACTACAGTTCTTCCTTCAGGCAAAATCTCCACTACCTCAGATCCTCCCTTCCACGTACACAGGAATTAAGAATGAAGGGAACACCATTCAGCTTCACTTACTTTTTCCAGAAATGAGCTATAGCCATACCATCTGATCTATTGCCGAGGAAAAATCCATTTATTTCTTCCATAATATGCCTTTGTGGTAGGGAAGTCTCATTTTAGTGTTCAACAGCTGCAAGGCTTTATATCAAAAGACAAGTCACTGAAAATAACTGCTCAATCTGTGAGAGGCAGATGCCCCAAATCTTTCATTGACATGCTTCAAGGTCCCCAAATTCTTGCCTGAAAAATTCTTGCCTGAATCACTTGTAAAGGAGAATGTTGGGGAGAAAAGTTAGTGCCCTTACCTGGTTCTTGAAAGTGTTCTTCATTTGATAGAGTTCTAGACAAGATAAGTATTAACGCCTCCTTAAATTGGTCAAAATGCACCTGAAATAATTAAAAATAAATGTAAAATAATTAAGAAAGCAAATCCAGCCATCAGAAACCAAAATTGTGTGCTAACATTTTGACAGCCTTGAAGTGGTCATAACTCTTTGATGCCCCCTTTTCTTCATTTCTCTAAAGCACTTCAAGGACAGGGGCTGATCATTTTTGACAACCAATGTCATAAAGACTTATATCAGTAACAATGTTTACTCAACCCCAAGGGGAAAAACAATACAGCAAAACCCTCTTTATAAACTCAAAAACACACTGAATGTTTTGAATATTTAGCTTCTTCTATTTTTCCAAACAAAACCAGGAGAGAAAGATGTTAGGTTAGACATTCGTAAAATCTTTCCAAGTACATAATCCATTGAACAATGCCCTAAAGACGCCTTCATCTCTTAAGATATTCTAGAAAGGAGTAAGCTATCTTTTGAGGGTGACTTGAATACAGACTTGCCTGGGGCTAGTATATAATATTTATCTCCCAAGACCCCCATGATTCCACAAACAAGCAGAAATCAATCGCAAACACAGAAGATAAAAGAACCTTGAGAGGCATTTTCTTGAGTTCTTAAAAATACAATTACTTTGATTGATGCAGTAAAGAAGTGAGAGTTTACTTAAGCAAATACTGTTAGAACTGGAACATTACATTGGCACAACAGGTAAAACGGTTTTCTTTTTGGTCAACTATATTCTTCTGTAAGTTTATGTGATCTCACCATGAAGAAGGGAGAGATGGCATTTTGCCTCACCCTAGCTCTAATCTGATAATGTGGTGTTTATTTATGTAAGTAAATGCAAAGTTAGTAAATTTATAATTTGTCTGCGATAGGTTCTATTTGGACATTATTGCAAAACATTGCCTAGAAATATAGGTGACAGATAAATACCACTTCTAAATTCAATTTGGAAAGCAACAAACCATTTGTCTAAACAATGAAGGAAAGAAATCATATAATAATCTTACCCATGCAAATTAATGCAAATAAGAGGAACCCACTGAGATTCATGTCATAAAAATTGCATATGCCTGCAATTTACCACACTCGCCCCAAAGTATATATGATTTTTAAAAGCACATTTATTTTGATTACTTGAAATTATTTTCCAAAATCATGTTTCTTTGGACTATATCAGCATAATCTATGGAGCCAAAGCAGAAGTCTATTAAGGGAGGCAGGGCATCTGTGAAAGAGCCGGGGTGGTACAATGGATGTCAGACAATGATAGAGTTGCAATTTGTGTTAATTAGGTTTCACAGTTGACAAAGTACCTGGAAGTAGGGGCGGGAAGAGGGCCAGGTCTTGCTGTTGCCCTGAATCAGAGTGGACTTCAGGCTCTGTTCATCCCAGCCCCTGTTCCCAGGTCAAGGACATGCCCACAATGGCGGCACTCACCCAAGCCCCTCCCCCCAGGGGCATTTCCAGGCAGCCATCCCTTCCTCCCAGCTGCTTCCTCTTAGCGTGGGCTGTGGAAGGGTCAGGGGCACATGCTCTGCTCTGTTCAGGTTCTGACCATGTCGAGATACTTCCTGCTATGAATTACATTACTAATTTCCAAGCTTTAGTAAGCCCAACTGTAAGAATGGGGACATCTAACAACTAATATTTATGATTCATTCAACAATAACTCATTGAGCAGCTGCTAGGTGCCAGGCACTGCACTAGACTCTGGTGATAGAACAATTGACGAGAGCAATAAAGACCCCAGCTGCTGGACTTCCTAGTCTCAGGAAATGTCACAGGGAGTCAGGCAGATATATTTTATTACTTCTTTCTTTCTTTTATTTTTTAAAGATGTATTTATTTCTGCATACAGAACTGGGGTACAGGCCAGAGGTGCGGGGCGGTGAGAGGATTCACCAGAGACAGAGTGGGGCGCAAAACAGGCAGATCGACGAAGTACACTGCTGAGGGGAGCAGTGGGAGGGTCAGGAGAGGTCTGCCACACCATGGGGGTCATCTCCGGGGCTGGGGATAGAACTTGCACTGAACCTGCTGTAGCTGACTTGCAGTGCTGCATCCTAACCCACTGTGCCACCAAGGAGGACCCTATTTTATTATTTCTAAACCACCTTCTATAGGGTGGATTTAGGGAGCTACAAAGAGAGCTATGTAAAGTGACTAGAACTTCCGGGAACTTATTAGGTAGTTAAGAGTGGTTAGTGCTAGCAAGTAAAATAGCCAGTGTGACTATGCCTCGCCATTTTTACAGAAAAACAGGGAATGTTTTCACACAAAGCAAGTGGCCACCAGAGTAACCAAGACAGCCATGTGGGCACAGTGATAGTGCGTATCCCCCATATGAGCTGTGTATTTGCACAGGATCAGAAGACCTGATGGAGTTTTCAGGGTTTATCACACTTCAATTTATCACACTCTCCCCAAAGTATGTATGATTACTTGAAATTATTTTCCAAAATCATGTTTCTTTAGACTATGTAGACTTCAAAAATCAGCATAACCTATGGAGCCAAAACAGAAGTCTGTCACGGGGAAGCAGGGCATCTGTGAAAGAGCCAGGGTGGTACAATGAGCTTCACTCTCAGGATAGAACAGGGAAGTCCTGAATGAACCCTTTCTCTCCCTGCAGCAGTTATGAGGTGAACAGAAACAGTCCTGTGTTGAAAGGGTGGTTCTTGCTTCCAAACGTTCACATTCTTTACATTGGACACTGGTCTTTGCTGGGTCTTCTCAAGGTAATTGTAAGAGACTTTCTAAATTCAGTTCCAACAAAGTGCAATTCAGTGAGTATTAGCCATGAAAGTCACTCAAAGATCTATGTTCCCCGTCTTACTCCCTGCTAAAAAACGACTAAGACGCGTATAAACTGGAAACTCGTCCAGGACAACTTCCTAGACTTGTCATACCAGGTATGTAGGGCATATGGAGGCCTGACATCAACACACCAACTTTTGAAACAGTGTAAAAGCCTCATGTACAGTGAGGGTGTTCATCTCACAACCACAGTGATCTAGAATACGGCTGTGAACCAGGAAAAAAGTGGTGTTTGCAGCTGCAGAAGGGCTATAAAGCCCATTTCTGCTCTCATAGAGAATCCACAGAACCAGCTCAGGAGCCACTATCCTAAGATTCACTGTCTTGCTGCCTAACCCACTGCAGATTAGAAGCAGCAAATAAAAGACATAGGCACTCCGAAGTAAGCTACTAAGAAGCAAATACTGACATTAGGGTTGAGGAAAGACATTAATTACTCTTCCTCCAACAGAAAGAGTATAATTTTTATACTTAAAAATTATTCTTGGGCCCTCCTGGTGGTGCAGTGGGTTAAAGCACAGCACTAAGATGCTAATGCCACTTCAGCATGAGTTTGCTCCCCGCCCCCGAGGTGACCCACATGACACAGCAGACCTCTCCTGACCCACCCACTGCTCCCCTCAGCAGTATACTTCATCAATCTGCCCATTCTGCTCCCCACTCTGTCTCTGGTGAAGCCTCTCACCACCCCTGCAACTCTGGCCTGTACCCCAGTTCTGTATGCATAAATAAATAAATCTTTTTTTAAAAATTCTTAAAAACTATATACACTAATGACAAAAGATGGATCTATGTGAAAACCTAACATGTTGGGTATGTGAAAACCTAACATGTTGGGGATGATTTAGTGTTTAGAAAGGATCTGTGAGCTGCTAAATAAATCTTCAGGGTATTATCTGTAATACAGAAGAATTGATAGACCAAGAAGATATTAAATGATTAAGAACAACCTTATGATGTTTAATATATTCTTTGATAGGGTTGAATGGGGAGGAGAGAGGAAAGCTTCTTAGTAAGTACAAGGCAGGCTGTCTCACAGGGCTTTGAGAGACGAAACAATCCTTCAGGGTTGTCTGATAAGAGTACATATTACTTGACCAGCAGGAGGGAACATGGGAACAGTTTTTTGACATTTGATTTGTCTAACATAGTTACAGGCAGTGTTTAAAGATTTCCAAAATGGATTTATAATGTGTTAAGTCAGTCCCATTTAGAAGCAAAAGGGGCAATAAAAGACTAAATATAATTATTAACTAAGATGCTTCATCATCCAACAATGTCTATTCTTCCCACACAAAAAAATACTAAAAATGTAAACTTGGCAAGGTGATCAAAACAACTGGAGCAACTTTAAGTCTTAAATTGCTCTTTATTTTCCTTCTTGCAAAGGCATTGAGATGATGGACCCTCTGGTATAAATAGCAGTAAATTCCACATCTTTCAAGAAGATTCTTCTCTAGTAGAGGCAGGTGACTGCTATTTTTATCAATGCTCATGAATACTGATGTAGCGGAAAGCCCCTTAGGGCACAACTCAGAACCAAAATGTTAATAAATGCCCTCTATAGTGAAGAAACTGCACCAGTTAGCTCACTGAGTTTAGTAAATGGAATTTTTAAATATCATTATTCTCCTCCAAGGGTGCTTTACTATTGTATTATGTTAAAATTTAGAAATCGTCACACATATATAATGCAATTAAATCTCACAAGGTAACAAGCTTCCAAGCTGTGCCTATTCCAGTTGGTACCTCCTCATTTGAATAATAATTGCTGCCATTCATTTTACAAGCATTCCTATATCTTGTATGCCTCAAAGGGCAGTTTGCAGCTATGGGAAAATTACAAGACTGACTAAAAACACACATGACATTTAAGCTAAATTAACAGGGAGACTAGTCAATTCTGATATTTCTGTCATGTGTCACCACCACTTAATCAAAATTTACCTCATCCCTTATCCTCTCCAAATTTCATGTAAATGCTGTTTTAGAAACATAATTTGCCTTTCTGGAAAAAGAATTTAAGCACTGTATAAGAAACAAAACCACAAAAAACCAGCAACCGGAAGCAGAATAAGGAACCAAACCTTGCATAGAATCATCTCATGCAATCATGAAGATCAACTGCAGTTTCTACATGTGTGTGGGCAGAACTTCAAACAGCCTCAAGATGAGAGAGCTCAGGCAGCATTCAACACAGTGAGCTTACTAACTAAG